TCACCGCTGCTTTTACTACCATGCTCCTCGCTACCACATGCACCTCAATCCTTCCCACTATCATTGTAGCCACCTCCTCCACCACTACTATCATTGATAACTACTGCTGTTGCTACTACTATAAACTCTTTGTCGCAATCACCTATTACAATAAAGTAAGAGTGTTTATGACATTCTCACAATCCACATCACTAATAATGTCATGACTTAGCAAAATAGACCCAAAATAACGAATTCACCTATCTTTTAATCTATTAGTACTACTTTAAATAGCATCAAAAGCTCTACTCCTCTCTTTCCAAATGACCCAAAAGACAGTCAAAGGAATAACATTAGCAACATTTTTTTTTACACATAAACTATCCAAAGCCCATATTTCCCCTCCTAACCGAACCGGCAATCATCCAATCAATCCCTAAAATGTCATAAATCTTACACCACAAGCTGTATACTGTAGGACACCACAATAAAATGCGGTTACAAGATTCCTCTGCCTGCAGACAGCAATAACATCCGTTCACCAAAATCTGTCCTCTAATTTTCAGCTTGTCTAAAGTCAAAATTCTTCCCCAACAAGCCTCCCGCGCGAAAAATGCTATTTGAGGGGGAACCATGGATTTCCATATGAGCTTAGCAGGAAATCTTCCCTGGCAGCATCACCCAAGCTGCAAAGATTATTGTAATATGAGGTAACACAGAAATTTCCCTTCTTTTCCAGTTTCCACAAGAGCTGATCCTCGGAATTAGACACATGCTGTGTTGCAAGAACCTGCAGCAGTTCTTCAAGCTCATCTATTTCCCAATCATACAAATTCCGTTTAGTATTAACAGTCCAAGCCAGATTCTCATTTAACATACTGTAAGCTTCCTCAACCATCATAACCTTAGATTCAGCAACACTATAAATTCTGGGAAACCTCCTTCTAAGACATCCATCAACAGCCCAAACATCATCACAAAATTTGGTCTTGTTGCCTCTTCCAATCTTCCATTTAGTACGCTGTTGGAAACTATTCCATTGCATTAAAATTTTCCTCCACAAACTTCGCCCATGCAGAATAGTAACTGTGTTACCTGAATTTTCTGCCATATACTCAATTCAACAATCCTTCCCCAAAGACTGTTTTCTTCCCTCATATATCTCCAAAGCCATTTTCCTTGAAGCGCTTCATTCATTTTTACGATGGACCGTATACCAAGCCCCCCATAGTTGAGTGGAGCTTTAATGTCTTCCCATCTCACCAAGTGATATTTGCAGTCATCATCAACATCACCCTATAGGAATTTACATTGGATGACTTTCAATCTCTTAGTCACTTTGACATGAATGGTGATTGTTGAGAGGTAATAAATTGGGAGGTTGACCAATGTACTCTTAATTAGGGTGAGTAACCACC